CCATAAAACTCATCAGCTCGTGCCCCGGGATGGCGTCGACCATGCAGTCGATGTGAGGAAGAGAATAGCTGTCTTTGGGGCATGCCTTGTTCAAATCGGAGAAATCGATGCATAGGCGCCATGCCCCGCTGCTTTTCTTCACAAGTACCGGATTGGCCACCCAGGTCGGGTACCAGACTTCACGAATGTATTCATTATCTTTGAGCTTGACCACTTCTTCTTCAATGGATTGTTGTCGGTCCGGGCTGAGCTTCCTTCTCTTTTGCACGACCGGCTCTACCATAGGGTTGACCTGCAGCCGGTGGTAGGCGACTCGCGAGTCGATGCCTACCATGTCTTCATGGGTCCACGCGAAGATGTTCGCGTTTTCCCAGAGGAATTTGGTCAGCTTGGGTTTTAACGGTCCTGGCAGCTTGCTCCCAATCCTCACTTGTTTTTGACAAGTCTCTTCATCGATGAAGATGACTTCAACTTCGTCCATGGTCTCAGCCCTCTTTGTCCCCCGTTTTTCTTCATACTGGGTCCAGGGGTCGAGCTCGTCTTCTTCAGTGACTGGCACTTTGCCGGCCCTTCTCCCTCTGTCTAGGTCCAGGTCGGCCCTGGGCTCTTCTTCTGCCTGGCCGGTGTTACCGCCAACCGAGGGGAGCGGACCTGTCTGGTTTTCCAGCATGTGGTCGTCTCCCCGGCCTGGGTCAACCGGTTCGGCACTTGCGTTGGGAGTGTTTTGGTCGCTGGTCATTTTCATCTCCGCGTCGGATCCCGCTTTGATTGGGCCGGCACCTAACGCAATCCGAGGGTGCGAACCTATCTAGTCTTCCAGCATGCGGTTGCCCCTCGGGCCGCCATGTGTCGGCTCCGAGTTAGCTGCCAGCTCGGCATCTTCCGTCTCAGCATCGGGAATGGGGTCTGCAGGGTTTATCTTTGCTCGCAGGATGGTCAAGACGCACTCCCGCGCCTCCCTCTGATCTCTGCGGTCGGTTCCTTCTCCATCCAAGGTCGGGAATTTTAGGGAGTAGTGGAATATGGAGACAGCGGCCTTTAGCTTGTAGAGGGCCGTCCTGCCCAGGATGGCGTTGTACTCGCTCGGGCAGTCCACGATCTTGAAGGTTTCCAGAATCATCTTCGTGGGCTGCCCCTTCTCTCCAAACCGGATTGGTAGTACGACTTGGCTTATGGGGGCCGTCGTTTTCCCATTGAAACCCTGAATTCGCTCGCGACAGGGTTGCACCTCTTTCACGTCGATCCCCATCTTCTTGAAGGTACTGCAATAGAGAATGCTCGCATAGGCCTCGGTGTCAACCATGATGCGGTGGATCCTTATCGCCATTATAGGCGCCGTGATCACCAGGGCGTCAGAGTGGGGGTGGTCGAACAAGAAGGTGTCCTCATCAGTGAAAGAGATCCTGTTTGGCGTCGGCTCCGGTGTAGGCCTACTGTCGGCGTGCATAACTCTCTGCCCGGCGTAATAGTCTTGCCGGGCATAGGCCTTGGTCTGCCTCCTGGAAAGGAGGGACTCACCTCGGCTTGTGTTGACGCGCCGAGATTGGTAATCGGTGTGGTCGTCCACTGGAGGTGGGGACCGATTTCTCTTCCTGCCCCTAGAGGTGCCGGCCTCGTCTTGGGGGGCGGGGTAGAAAGTCATGATCTCATGGGGGTCGCCCTACTGCTGCTTCTTCCTCTGAGGATTCACATCGGCGTCGTCATCACTATCGAGGCCTTCCTCGAAGTGGCCTCCCTTCTTTCTCTTTTCACCGAAGTGGGTGAACCTCTTCAGCTGCGGGTCGTCAATCAGTTTGAGCAATTCCGAGATTAAATTCTGGCACTGATCGGTGTTGTGCCCGTGCACCTTGTGATAGGTACAATAACGTTACTTGTCCATCTTGTCCTTGTCAGTGAACATCGGCTTCGGGTCCGGCAGTAGCCCTTTTGCCTTGATTTCCTCGTAAATCGCGGCTGCACCCACGGAGAAGACGCTCTGGTAGCTCTCCTTCAGCTCTTCAGCTTTCTGTTTCCGCAGGGCTCGGACCTCAGCCAACAACTTGCTCGGCTTCCCCGACTTTTTCTCCTTAGCCTTGCCTTTTGCCGCGCGGCGTCGAGTGTTGGGATTAACGAGGATTCCTCCGCAATGATGTAGTCTTGGACTCGAGTAAGGAACTCCTGATAAGTGGTCGGCTTATTCTGGCACAGGGACCACTTGAATAGCGTCTTCGGTCTCAGACCGCCCTGAGGTGATTAGGGCGGCACCGCTCTTTGTTTTGAAATCAGACGTTAAACCGAGTAATGTAGTCCTTCAGGCTCTCGTTCTCGCCTTGGAAAATGTTGGTAATGGATTCCTTGGGGGCGAGGTTGATTTGCGACCCAATGAAGTGCGTTCGGAACGCCGACCTAAGTTGCCCCCAGGTGGAGATGGAGTGAGGGTATAGAGAATGATACCACCTCTGCGCTTTGGGCCTTACATTAGGGAGAACATGCGGCAATGCAAGGCATCCGTCACGTCGTGCAGGTCCATCCAAGAGGTGTAGAGGCCGATGTGGGAGTCTGGATCCGACCTCCCGTCGTAGAGACCGAGCTGCGATACCTTTATCTTTGTCGGGACGGCTTCCTGCAAGATGTCCGGGGAGAGAGGCGAAGCATGGTCCACGACCCGGGGAGTTGGTCGTGTGTGGGGCGAGGAGGCGGCACATCCTGGACAGAGTGTCGTCCCTCCAGTTTGGCGATTCTGCACTTAAGGGCTTCGACTTCATTGGTGTCGCGGCCGATAGCTTTACCTCGCTCAATGACCTCTTTGAGGTCGCGATTAGCTTGGCCTTTGCCTCCCAAGCGTTGGTGAACGGGCTGATGGACGATTCGCATGCTCTGTTCTGGCTGGCTTTCGCCAGTTTGTTTGGTGGGTGTCGGCCTTGAGCTGCTGCCGCGGCGATTCCAGACTTCCTGATTGGGTGATTGAGCGGTGGTCTTGGACTTGGCCGGATTCGCCCTCTACCACCCGGCCCCCTTGTCGGGGATCTGAAGCATTGTGTTTGTGGGGTTTTCTGTGGGGGCCACGGTGTTTCCCCCAACTATCTGGCTCGCGAGCACCCTTGAGAAGACCCCCTCGAGAGCTTTGAAGACGTCGGGGTGCTGCATGGCTGCAGCAAAGGTCGGGACTGGCGGAGCAGGGGCCTGTGTTCCCTGCTGAGTGCGGCGGGAGGTCTCTCTGCTGTTGCGCCGGCGGGACTAGGCGCCGGACTACTGAGTCGATTGGTCATAACCAGATGAAGTCATTTCGAACGATTTTTTGAAGTGAAAAGTGGAAAAAAGATGAATTCGGTGTGGGGTTCCACAAGATCGAACAATTGACACCAAGTAACTTATGGTGCCCTCCTTCTAGCGCCAAACTGTTGACGGGCGTTTCCGGTCAACGGTTAAAGATATGAATAATGGAAAGATAGGAGGAGGAAAATATGAAGAGATACGGTTTAATTATGATTTTATTAATAGATCACTGGGTCGGCCTCTCGTACGAGGTCGGCACTTGTGATATCCTTACAAATTCGTACAGAGGTTTATTACAAGTTTAGAAAGAGAGAGTCTGTTAGTTGAGGATTCAACAACCCAGAAATAAATGAAGTGGGCTTCTATTTATAGTGCTCTTAAATGTGGCACTATTCAGGTACTGTTCACCGGTCTTGTCTTACAGTGTTCCTGCAGAGCAGTTCGGCGCCTCCCTGACAGATATTAATGCGATTTAAGGTTTTCTTAACCTGTCAGGCATTTAATGCACACATGGAGGGCAATTAATGCTGGCAGGCTTTATGTCTTGGCTAGTGGATGTAGGCCGGCAGGATATGACGCCTTGTCCAATCACCAATGATTACTTTCGAAGTGGCAATATTATATCATTATTGAGCTCCGCACCTGCCCTTAAAGCGATCGCTGTGAAGCCTCAGGTCGGCTCCCGAGCTCATTCTACTCTTCAGGCCTTCTGGGGCCTCACTTCAGACCATCACCTATTCGAGCTCGGCACCGGTACCCGAACGGCACAAATGTCAAGCTTGAGAATAGATCCACAGAGATGCGAGGGTCAGTTTGATTCAGAATTCAGCTCGGCACTTGCATACCCGACCGGGTATCTGGCTCAGCTTTTGGGATTGCCTCTCGTCCGATTCCTTTGGGGCGAACTCGGATGTCAACAGTGTGAATAATGCTTGGACCGAGTTTAAGGCTTTTTCTTGTGATCAAATGACTTATAAAAATATAGCAATGATATACTAAGGCTTAGACAAGTCTTGGGTAAGGCCATGGCATCGGCTCGTACCTCGGATGCGCGACCAAGGTCACGCGCACGGCTATGGTGTGGCTCGGGGTCTAAGGCTTGAACTAGGGACATTTAAAACACTTAGAAATATTCTAAGTATACTACTATGGCTTGGCAATGACTTGCGAAAGATACTCGGAAACGACTTGGAAATTTATTCGAATCGAGGCTAGGGTCCGAGGCTAAAATTCTCGAGTCGACTAAATTACACCTATCAACCCAAATTAATGGATTGATCTTGACCTTAACTTGACATAGAAAATTCTAACGGATGATCTAACATAATTGAGCATTTAGCAAATAAATTAAATAAATCTTGAATTTCTGGAATTTACGAATTTCACTTCAAAGTCGAACAGTGAAATCGTCTTAATATTATAATAATGATCGGGGCGTTACACAAACATTTTCTTTCATTTTACATATATCAAAAATATGTTTATAGGTATGTATATATATATATATATATATATATATATATATATAGGGATTGGATCCAATGAGTACACTTATTTAAAGTGTGCACGTGAGACTCAACCATACCCATTGATTTTGTGTTGATCAATGACACATATTAATCATATAAAAGTTACATTAATTAAATCATAATAAATTATTATTATTTTATTTAAATTTAAATTAATATTATATTAAAATTAATTATATCATAAATAAATTAAATATAAAATAAATATTCCGGCAGCCGGTCACCGGCGACCTCATTTTTCCAGCGACACAATTTTCCGGCCACCCCATTTTTCCGAAAACCCGCCGGCGGCCGCCGACGGCATCCAGTCCGGCTACCCTCATCTTGTTTTTTCGGCAACCCTTTTTGCCGGCGACCCCATTTTTTCGGCTCCTCACTACGGTCAGCCCGCAGTTCGAGCCTCCACGGCTGTTCAAGGACGGCCCAACGATTCCAGCCTGGCGCCTCAGTCCGGCGACTCCGGTTTTTCCGGCAGAAAGCTTAAGCTCCGACCATTTTCCGACAGTCATGGCCAACTTCATCTTCTCTAGTTTTCACGGCAGCAAGAAGCTTCTGAAGCTCTTTCAATGTCCCAGGAATCTCCAGGTGGTCAGAAGTAGCGTCCAGGATGTCTGCCATGGCAGACAGCTTGAGCTTCGAATTTCCGGCGGTCATGGCCAACTTTGTCTTTTTCGGTTTTCAAGACGGCAAGACTTTCTTGACAATTTTTTGATGTCCTAAGACTCTCTAGTTGGTTGGACTTGGCTTCGAGGAGGCCGGCTGTGGCAGACGTACGCGGAGCTCCAGCCATTTTTTGGCGGCCAACTCGACGGTTGGCGACTTCTTGGTGATCATGACGACGGCCGAACGATTTTCTGATATTCAGGACGTCGGAGAGGTGGCCTATTGTGGAGCACCGGTCAAGCAGAGCTCATGGATGAAGATGACGGGGAGGTCTGCTAGCGTTGGTGTTGATGGAAGAAGATGACATTTTTTCATAAAATGACAATTTCACCCTAAAGTGATTTAATGCTTTGGCTATTTGTGTGGGCTTTGATGGGCTGGCACAATAGTCCTATTGAATTTCTTTTTGCTCCTCAATTAATATATTATCAATATTTTAAGTGCACATTTAATTCAAATAAATGCACATTTAGTTCATATGACGTGCATATTTAATTTAACAAATACGCATAAATTAACTAAGTATGCATCATTATACATTTAATTTAAATATAACAAATATGCACTATGGATGAATTAAATATACATTTCGTATGAACTAAATATGCATCATGAATGAATTAGATATGCATCATTATATTTCATTCAAATATAACAAATAGACATTATAAATGATAAAATATCATCATTAAATATTTAATTGAAATATAACAAATATGCACTATTAAGCATTTTGTAATAACTAAATATGCGCATCATTCTATATTTATTTTAAACACAACAACTATGCATGTCGTATTAACTAAATATGCATCATCTATGAACTACATATGCATCATTAATTAATTAAATATGCATCATGAATAAACTAAATATTCATCATGTATATATTTAATTTAAATATAACAAATATGCACAATGGATGAACTAAATATGCATGTTGTATGAACTAAATATCCATCATGAATGAACTAAATATACATCACTTATATATTTAATTTAAATAACAAATATGCATTTCGTACTAACTAAATATGCATAATCAATGAACAAAATATGCATCATGAATGAACTAAATATGCATCGTTATATATTTAATTATATATACTAAATATGCATTTCGTATTAGCTAAATATGCATCATTAGTTAACTAAATATGCATCGTGAATGAACTAAATATGAATCATGTATATAGATATATATTTAATTTAAATATAACAAATATGCATTTCGTATGAACTAAGTATGCATCATATATTAATAAATATGCATCATTATATATTAAATTTAAATATAATAAATATGCACTATAGATGAACAAAAGATGCATTTCGTGTTAACTAAATATGCATCATCAATGAACTAAATATGCATCATGAATAAACTAAATATGCACATGTAAATATTTAATTTAATTATAATAAATATGCACTATGGATGAACTAAATATGTATTACGTCTTAACTAAATATGCATCATCTATTAACTAACTAAGCATGACTATATATTTAATTTAAATATAAAAATATGCTCTATGGATGGACTAAATGTGCGTTTCGTATGAACTAAATAAGCAGCATTAATGAACTAAATATGCATTATGAATAAACTAAATATGCACATCTAAATATTTGATTTAAATATGCACTATGAATTAACTAAATATGCATTCCGTATTAACTAAATATGCATTATTATATATTTAATGTAAATATAATAAATATGCACTATGAATAAAATAAATATGCATTTTGAATGAACTAAATATGCATATTTTGATATTTATAGTAGCAACAAAAATATTTTATTTGTTACACTATTTTGTTAAACCATTATTATTAATTAGCAGTAAAACATTATAAAAGAATGCAACGTTTCCAGTCACGTGCAAAGCACGAAAGGTCCCCACGCTACCCTTAGAAGTAAATTCATTCATTATTTTATTTATTGTCTTGTTTTGTTCCCTACAAAGTCCACCCACTCTTTTCTCGTAGCAGGCTTTTTATTAAATCATCCACCCACCCATTCATTATTAAACCGAACTCATTTTACACGCTTTTCGATATTTTTTCCAATTAATTTCTAGTGTTTTTTTTCTACCATGGCTATGGCTGCTCATGTTTGTGGAGCTTTTGTATTAATACTGGTTGTGTTGTTTATTACAAGCAGCAAAATATATGCAGATCCAGACATGCTTCAAGATATTATCATTTTCGCACTGATCGGATTTTTGCCCGGATCAGATTTTCACTCGGATCTGATTTTAGCACGGTCGCGAACAGGATGTCTGTGGCCGACGAACTTCACCTGCTCAGCCTCATCCCTGGCGGCGCGCGACTCCGGCGGGATGAATTGGAGGACGCCTGGAGGCCGATGGCGATCATGGCTGGGGTCGACGGCAGCTATGGCGGGTGGCTCTGCGACGGGCTGACCGACGGCTGGAGGTCCGGGCTGGGAGGTTGACTGAGGCTTCACTGAATTCGTCGGGCTGAAGGTCGCCGGAAAACGGGGTCGCCAGAATTATATTCGCCTCTGACCGGCGGTCAACTCCGGTCAATGGCCGGCAATCGGAGGTCAACACCGATCAATGGCTGGCCGGCCGAGGGTCAACGTCGGTCAACATAATTATATTTTTTATTATATATTTAATTTAAGTATAATAATTAATATTTTTATTATTTGATTAATATGGATTTTAATTGATTAATGTGAATCATTGATCTGGACAAAATGAATAGCTAAGATTGAGTCTTACGTACTCATTTTAAGGAGTGGTCTCATTGAATCCACCCCCTATATATAT